CTTTTGTGGTTCCATATGAATTTTAGAACTATTTGTTCTAATTCTTTGAAGAATGCTGTTGGTATTTTGATAGGGATTGCATTGAATCTGTAGATTGCGTTAGGCAGAATGGCCATTTTGACAATATTAATTCTTCCTATCCGTGAGCACAGAATGTATTTCCATTTATTGGTGTCTTCTTTAATTTCCCTCATGAGTGTCTTGTAGTTCTCAGGGTATAGGTCTTTCACCTCCTTGGTTAAGTTTACTCCTAGGTATTTTATTATTTTGGATGCAATTGTAAATGGAGTTGTTTTCATGATTTCTCTTTCTGCCTGTTCATTGTTAGTATATAGGAATGAAACAGATTTCTGTGTATTAATTTTGTATCTTGCAACTTTGCTGAATTCAGTTATTCTAGTAGTTTTGGGGTGGATTCCTTAGGGTTTTTATGTAAAATATCATGTCATCTACAAACAGTGACAGTTTAATTTCTTCCTTACCAATCTGGATGCTTTATTTCTTTGTGTTGTCTGATTGCTGTGTCTAGGACTTCCAGTACTATGTTGAATAAAGTGGAAGAATGGGCATCCTTGTCTTGTTCCTGATCTTAAAGGAAAAGCTTTCATGTTAAGTATGATGTTGGCTGTGGGTTGTCATATATGGCCTTTATTATGTTGAGGTACTTGCCCTCTATACTCATTTTCTTGAGAGTTTTTATCATGAATGGATGTTGAATTTTGTCAAATGCTTTTTCAGCATCTATGTAGGTGATCATGTGATTTTTGTCCTTTTTTGTTGATGTGGTGTCTGATGTTGATGGGTTTTTAAATATTGTACCATCCTTGCATCCCTGGAATGAATACCACTTTATAATGATGGATGATCTTTTTGATCTATTTTTAAATTTGGTTTGTTAATATTTTGTTGAATATTTTTTCATCTGTGGTCATTGGGGATATTGGTCTGTAATTTCCTTTTTTTGTGATGTCTTTGCCTGGATTTGGTATTAGAGTGATACTGGCTTCATAGAATGAGTTTGGAAGTATTACTTCCTCTTCTATTTTTTGGAAAACTTTGAGGAGGATGGGTATTAGGTCTTCACTAAATGTTTGATAAAATTCAGCAGTGAAGCCATCTGGTACAGGTGCTTTGTTCTTAGGTAGTTTTTTGTTACCAATTCAATTTCCTTGCTAGTAATTGATCTCTTCAGATTTTCTGTTTCTTCCTGGGTCAGTCTTAGAAGGTTGTATTTTTTTAGAAAGTTGTCCATTTCTTCTAGGTTATCCAATTTGTTAGCATTTAATTTTTCATAGTATTCTCTAATAATTCTTTGTATTTCTGTGGTTTCTGTCATGATTTTTCCTTTCTGATTTCTGATTCTGTTTATGTGTATAGACTCTCCTTTTTTCTTGATAAGTCTGGCTAGGGGTTTATATTATTTTATTTTCTTGAAGAACCAGCCCCTGGTTTCATTGATTCTATTGTTTTATTCTCAATTTTATTTATTTCTCCTCTGATCTTTATTATGGTCACTCCTTCTACTGACTTGGGGCCTCATTGTTCTTCTTTTTCTAGTTTCATTAATTGTGAGCTTAGATTGTTCATATGGGATTGTTCTTCTTTTTTGAAGTAAGCCTATGTTGCGATATGCTTTCCTCTGAGAACTGCCTTCACTGCATCCCACAGGTTTTGGGGGTATTCAGTTGTCATTTTCATTTGTCTCCATATATTGCTTGATCTATTTTTATTTGGTCATTGATCCACTGATTATTTAAGAGCATGTTGTTAAGCCTCCATGTATTTGTGGGATTTTTTTTTTTGCATAATTTATTTCTAATTTCATACCTCTGTGGTCTGAGAAGCTGGCTGGCACAATTTCAATCTTTCTGAATCTAATGAGGCTCTTTCTGTGGCCTAGTATGTGATCTATTCTGGAAAATATTCCATGTGCACTTGAGAAGAATGTGTATTCTGCTGCTTTTGGGTGTAGAGTTCTGTAGATGTCTGTTAGGTCCATCTCTTCTAGTGTGTTGTTCAGGGCCTCTGTCTTCTTACTTATTTTCTGTCTGGTGGATCTGTCCTTTGGAGTGAATGGTGTGCTGAAGTCTCCTGAAATGAATGCATTGCATTCTATTTCCCCCTTTAATTCTGTTAGTATTTGTTTCACACACAGAGGTGATCCTGTGTTGGGTGCATAGATATTCATAATGGTTATATCCTGTTGTGGGACTGACCCCTTTATCATTATGTAATGTTCTGTCTCTTGTTACTTTTTTGTTCTCAAATTTATTTTGTCTGATACAAGTACTACAACTCCTGCTTTTTTCCCCCTATTGTTTGCATGAAGTATCTTTTTCCATCCTGTCACTTTTAGTCTGTGTATGTCTTTGGGTTTGAAGTCAGTCTCTTATAGGCAGCATACAGATGTTTTTTTTTTTTAAATATCCATTCTGTAACTCTTATGTCTTTTGATTGGTGCATTCAATCCATTTACATTTAGGTGATTATTGATAGATATGTACTTATTGCCATTGCAGACTTTGAATTCGTGGTTACAAAGGTTCAAGGGCAGTTTCTTTACTATCTAACATTCTAACTTAACATGCTTATTATGCTATTTCAAATACAATCAAAAGATTTTCTTTCTCTTCTTTTTCTCCCTCCTCCACTCTTTATATATTAGGTGTCATATTCTGTACTCTTTATGTATACCTTGACTTTGTGGGTAGTTGATTTAATTTTGCATTTTCTTAGTAGTTAATTGGTTTACTTCCTTTACTGTGTTTTTTTTCCCTTCTCTGGTGATAGCTATTTACCCTTAGAAGCTCTTTCATCTATAGCAGTCCCTTTAAAATACACTGTAGAGACAATTTGTGGGAGGTAAATTCTCTCAACTTTTGCTTATCTGGGAATTGTTTAATCCCTGCTTCAAATTTAAATGATAATCTTGCTGGGTACAGTATTCTTGGTTGGAGGCCCTTCTGTTTCATTGCATTCACTATATCATGCCACTCCCTTCTGGCCTGTAAGGTTTCTGTTGAGAAGTCTGATGACAGCCTGATGGGGTTTCCTTTGTAAGTGATCTTTTTTCTCTCTCTCACTGCTTTTAATACTCTTTCCTTGTCCTTTATCTTTGCCATTTTAATTACTGTGTCTTGGTGTCTTCCTGGAGTCCCTTGTGTTGGGAGATCTCTTCACTTCCATGACCTAAGATACTATTTCCTTCCCCACATTGGGGACATGTCCAACAATTTTCTCAAAGAGGCTTTCTATATCTTTTTCTCTCTCTTCTTTTGGTACCCCTATAATGCAAATATTGTCCCATTTGGATTGGTCATACAGTTCTCTTAATATTCTTTCATTCCTAGAGATCCTTTTTTCTCTCTGTGCCTCAGCTTCTTTGTTTTCTTGTTCTCTAATTTCTATTTCATTTACAGGCTCCTCTATCTCATCTGATGTACTTTAATCCCTCCATTGTATGTTTCCTGTCAGATACTGTATTTTTGTTCATTTCTTGAAGTCTTCCCTGAAATCTTGAATATTTTTCTGTAGCTCCATGAGTATATTTATGATTTTTATTTTGAAATATTTATCAAGAAGATTGGTGATTTCAGTTTCACTTAGCCCTCTTTCTGGTGTCTGTTGGATTCTTGTTTGTACAAAATTTTTTTTGCCACTTCATATGTCTAGTGATTCCTATGGAATAATAACTTTGTGTAGGTGGTGCCCTCTAGTTCCCAGAAGCTCTACTCTCTGGAGCTGCCCAGCACCTGTTGTGATGGCAGGAGTTGCAGGTGAGTGGCACTGGTGCCTGCCAGAGGAAAGAGCTCTTTTCTGCTTCCTGGCTACAGTGCCTGTCTCCACTGCCAAGGCCAGTAGGCCGAGCATGCAGGGAGCAGCCTCCACATTACACCCTTGTAGCTGTCATAGGCAGGGCTGCTCTCCAGCTGGCTTGGCGTGATGGCGGGAACAGCAGGTGTGCAGACCAGTGCCTGCTGGAAGGAGCAGCATGCTGTGTCACAGTGGGGGGTCTTGACACTGTGTTGCCAGCCATGGGGATGGAGTATCTAAAGTTCCTGAAAGTTCCCAACCTGCTAGGCCTAGCATCCCAGGATGATTTTTGTCCATCTGTCATTTCTCCAAGCAGCAAGCTCTGTTGTAATCCTTGCCCCTTTAGCAGCCTTCTCTCTATTGGGAAATCTTTCAAAGTGCCCATCTTTCTTTTGTCCTGGAGCAGCCGATTGTGGGTACCTGTTCTCCACAAGTGGCTAGAATCTCCATCTCTCCAAGTATTCCATCTATCTTTGCTTTCCAACCCCACTAATCTCTAAGCACCATGTTATGTGGATTTGTGCTCCCAGAGCAGATCTCCAGGGTGGATGTTTAGCAATCCTGGGCTTCTACTTCTCCCCCTCCATTTCTCCTCCTCCTGCCAGTGAGCTGGGGTTGGGGGGAGGGCTTGGATCCTGCTGGATCTTGGCTTTGCTACTTGACCCTTTTCTTTGAGGTCTTCTCTTTTTCCCAGATGTAGGCAGTCTGTTCTGCAGTCTTTGGCTTGCTCTTTCAAGATTAGTTGTATTTGCTGTATTTTCGTGTTATATGTGGTTTTGGGAGGAGATTTCTGCCTAACTTCTCACAGTGCCATCTTTCTCCCCCCTCTATCGCAAATATATTTTTATAAGTATTTCTCATGTAATACATAAGCCTCAGGATCTTATGTCATAGACACTTTCAGAAAATTTTAAAAATAATTTTACTGTAATTCCATAGATTGTCAGTGATTTGTAATCATTAATATTCGTAATATATATAAAGACAAATATCTAAATTCCCACTGAACAAGTGATACGAGTATCTAATTATGAAAAAAACAAAGCCAACATAAAACAAACCACTATGACTTTTCAACAAATTTTAAAATGAAATATATTGATTGGTGAACAAAATATTAAAATGAAGATTGCTATTTAACTACATATTCAACTTGCAAAACAGATTAAGAACTCTTTAAAAAATGATATATTGAGGCCTTTACAAAGATATACTGGTTTATTTTTATATTGTTTTATTTCTTGGAAGGCCCTTCTTGTCCTGTCCTGGCAAGGTCATCCCCATTCCTCCAGCTCTGCCTACAGAATATGCCCATTTGTGCAGGTTAAGGCTTGGGATGAAGCAGATGCCAAGCACCCCCGATAGCCCACTGTGACCTGGCCTCTCCCTATATTTGCCCTGTTTCACATCCCTGCATAGCCAGTTCATGCAAAGTGTACTCTCTATGGCCAGCTGTGGGCTGCCAGGGCCCTCGGGGCCTGTGGAGCTGTTGGACCCCAACCCCAAGAACGGCCTCCAGTGTGATGGGAATGCACCTCTCAAAAATCTGAGGTGGGGATCATTAGTCCCCATTTTGACTGGCTTTCTGATGGGGTCCTGGTGTCTGTTAGAGGATATTCTGGCCATTCCTCCTCTTCTGGCCTTAGCAACCAGTCCAGATTCCCTCACGTTTCCCTTCAGGAGAAATACGTGCATTTGTGTAGGTTAAGGCTTGGAATTGGGTAGATGTCAGGCACCTGTAATAACCTGCTATGAAAGGCCTCTCCAGACACTTACCCTGTTCCAGGACCCTGGTTACCCTGACCTGTTCTTCCCTTGCCCGATAAGTCCCCCTGTCAGCAGTCCTTGGGCAGGCTGGGCCTCTAGGCCTATGTAGACCCAGCTGGATCCCAAAACCCTGAATGGCATCCAGGGTGGAGGGAGGCCACCTCTTGAAAATCTGAGGTGGTAGTTTAAATACACAAGTCAGTCCCCATTTGGACTGGTTTCCCAAGCAGGTCTCAGGCTTCTCCAGCATCCAAGGCTCCCTCGTGTCACTTATTGGATTCCAAGCAGCCCCCCTAGGCTCTCCCTGGCAAGAGTCCGGATTCCTGTAGCTCTGCCTGCTGGGGTAGTATCTGTATATGTGTAGGGTAAGGCTTGGAATTATACCAATGCTAGGCTTCCCAATAGCCCACACTGAGACCCTCCCCTCTCCTGACACTTGCCTTGTTCCAGATCACTGGCTAACCTGGCCTTCCAGCTTGTTCATGGGAGGTCTGCACTGTCAGCCCTCAAGGCCTGTGAGACTCCAGCCAGACCCCAATCCCTTGAATGGCCTCCAGTTGGGAGGGAGCCCAGCCGTTGGTAATCTTCCTGAGGTGGTAGCTTTGAACTGGCTGGCTGTTCAGATGTCAGGCTTCAAAGTGTAAAATGTGGAAGTGTAAAAATGGTTTCAGGCTGCTATTTGAAACTGCATGTTGCTACAAATAAACTGTGGGTTTAAGCTTTATTTGCACTGAATGATAACCCTTATCAATTATGTAATATTTCTATTTAATATTAGTTTTTGAAGTGCTATACACCTGCATATGTTACATATGAATTTTGGTCAGATGAATACAAATACAGTCCTGGTGAAGATCATGTTGGTGAATTGTTATCACTTTTCACATGCTGTATTTGTCTGTTATATTTTAACATCAGTGCTCATTATGGAAGCCTTGAATAGCTAAAAGTATAAAATCAACAATTAAAACTGTGAAAGAGTAAATAAAAACCACCTCAGAGGCTAATACTGTTCAACTGGGTCATTAGCTGGAGGACGGTGGGCCACAGGCATGGTGAGCCTCACCACTACAACCTTGGAGGCTTTCAAATGAAAAACATTTATTATATTGCCTTAAAAAGTAGAAACAGAAACAACAGCATTACCACCTGTATTGATATGACTCTCCTGGAACTTCTCTGGCAACCCTTGTACACTCAACTGGGAAACCTAAAATTTACCCCAGAGGAAGAACTCAAATCCAGAGATAGTTTCTGATTCTACCACTTGCTTCTAGAACTCTGGTATCATTTAATAAATGACTTATGTTAATAATAATATAATGAGAATTGTTTTGCAATAATAAGCGAACAGTGATGTTTGGGTATCAGGTGTGGTATCATGGCCCACAAATCGTTGTTCTAAGTAAAATAAGCAAACCATGTATTACTATTTAATGGAAGAAGAACTGCTAGAGACACAAAAGAACATTTGGAAACTTAAAAAATGTAAAAAATAGAAATAATTGAATAGAAATTAACCTAAGAGTACATTAAATAATAGATTGAATTTAATTGTACACTTAAAAAATACAAAGCTTTATGGTTTAACAATAGTCATTTTACTCATGAGAAGACCCAGAGCGAATTAATACACTGCTTCTTTTTAAAATGAATGTTGAAAGAGTGGATGGAAACTGGCAACAGCTTCAGATGAGTGCACTTACACATGGAAGAAGTCTTTTTCAACAGAGGCTAAGCAGTAAAAAAAAAAAAAAAAGTGTGACTTTTTGACATTTCTTCATCTAAATTATAGTCAAAGGAAACAAAAAACTATATTCAACCGAATGAAAAACAAGAATCTTTGTTTCAACTGTGATTTGAGTCACTGACAGATACGCACACTTCATGCTGCCCTTCATAGATCTGAGGTAGACGGGTCAGCAGGCCGACCTAACAGTTCTACAAGGCACCGCTGGTTTTGTGTAATGTAATGCTAGCACTGAGAGCTAGAGACACACAACAAATTCAGATGTGGTATATGATTGTCTTTAGTTTCCTCTGATTTTAGATTGGAGTAATAGTGATACTAATATCCACCTTGCCTTAACTTTTTCTTCAGGCACATCTTTTCTCAAATCTATTGGAAGATTCCTTCACAAAGTCTTAAATGAAAAGCGTCCCTTTAGGTATGCCTCTATACCAATTATGCTCACCTTAACACCTTGGTTAGAACAGATTTACCTGTTTCCCCATATTTTTGTGATCTCTCTTTAGGTTATCAATAAAGATCCCTATATGGTCGTAGCTTTTCTGAAAATCCATACTTAATAATCATGTGACTTCTTAAATACACACATACACATATATTCACATATATGTATATTCTGCTCTCATAACAGCAGAGAGGCTAAACCTAGTTGAAATATGCCAGAATTATGGTGCTACATCCTAGGTGTGTCATGTAATGGAACAGACCCCTCATTAGGTCACGATCATGTTACTAGAGTTCTGCTTTCAGAGCGGAAATGCAAATCAACAACTACTGTCTCAATACAGTTGTGAATCTTTCTTACAATCACAGGACATGGTTCAACAGTTAATATTGGCCATTAAAATCTCTTGGAATCCGTCTAACAGCATTCTGCTTCCTCTCACTAAGCCATATCTCCTGCATTTCTCTGTTAACCTAACAGTACTTCTAACTAGCTGATCAAGAAATGAGCTGCATTATATAATGTTCCATCACTGCACAACAAGTAAACAGGATGGTGAAGTACTCACATACAATATAAAATCTATTCAGTTAGTTATTAAAATCTGTTCTGCTTACAGGGAACTCAAACTCTCATCCTAGAAAATTACAAAATTCTACTCAGGAGAGAAAGAAATGTTGACTAGCAGAAATTAACGAAAGCATCAGAAATTGCTAGTAAGTACTAGTCTATATATTCTGCTGTTCATCTGTGGGTCTTTATCTTTCATAAATAGCATTGTCTATACAGTAAACCTGTATTTGCTTCTCTTCCTACTCACGAGTTTTAATACATTCATTTTTTTTACCCATTTCCTACCTATCTTTCTAAGAGGTTTTTTTTCACTTCATCAGTGATTTTCCAACTTAATTATCAGTGGAACTCATTGTTCCAATTAAATCTTATGGAGAATCCCAACACATAAATCAGTCAAAAGCAGAACTGCTCTGAGGAAAAGGGCAGTGGACCTAGTTTGAAAATGAACTGCTCTAAGTCACTCAAGAAAACTAACGATAGAACCAGTTGGAATTTCTTCCTTTCAATGCCTTTAAATACTTCCCCCATAGTTTCCAATTTTCAAGAACATTTCTCATGTGCAGCAGCTTTTACCTTAGCTCATTAACGGAATGAAAAGTACAGTGCCTTACATATAGCATTTAGGTTAAGGGTTGAATTCAGATTTCCACTTTGCTATTCAGAAGTGCAAATTAGTGTAAGATGTAATTCTAAAACTAGGTTTTCAAAATGAGTTTTTAAAATATTTAACATGTAATAGAAAAACTATCATTGCTTCATAACTGAAATTGCTTCAGCCCAAGTCCAAACACTTGGCTCCTTATCCAAAAGGCTTAGAGTCTCAAGAAAACAAAAATCACTCTGTAGTTACTCTGAGCAGCTTATCTTCCTGTGCAATGATTCTGTCACTGTTTTTGGATTTAAAAAAAATTTTCTTCAGGTATATATACCGTGCTATATTTCAAACCTGATTTGCTTGAAAGGCAAAGGAAATAAAGTTAGGTCAACTTTTTAGCTTTGTCAAGCTTAGATTAGAAAGTTTTACAAAATGCAAAAAATGAAAATTCTTTCCTAAAGCTTACTTGTGCCTTCCAGGCTATTTCCTAACATTCATCAACATCATTCCACATAAGCGGAAGGCTTTTAAGCTGAATTTTTAATAAGCCTATGCCACCTTCCTAACCTAACCAACTCTGTGCTTAGCTTATAAAAGGCACCCTTGCTCTTCTATGTTCTTCACTGGCTGGACGGGCAGCACCAGGTGTGAAATGCGGCTCCACAGCCCACTCAGTTTGTCCGAGTCCATGTGGTTGAAGGAGCTGGGAGTGTTAGAGTCGGTAAACCTGGCCCAGAGTAAATCTCTCACTTTCTCTTCAGTTTCTCTTGGGCCAAGACTTGCTTCTAGCGTTTGCTCCTCTAGTAGGACAGTCAGAACCAGGGCCACGTCTTTAAAGGCAGCATTCTCATGGTCACAATACTTATAGAAGATCAAGGTAGAGCCTGCAGGCAGGGACTCAAAGTGGTGAACCACAGCAGCCTTCTGGCCATTCTCAAACCCAGAGCTCAGCTCCACATCAACCAAGTGCTTGACTGTGTCACTGTCCTGCAAGGTTCTTCCAGCCCCATCAATGTGAATGGCAGAGACCTTCTGGGAGGAGGTGTAGGCGTCCGCAACGTGGAGGCTCAGGCACTTCAGGGTCTCTCTTCCCTCTCGAGCGGCTGTCAATATGATGGTGGCTGGCTCAGTGGGCTTGGATGCGTTGAGATGCTTCTGGAGAAACTTACGTCCTCTCTGCCACAAAAATGAACTCTGGCCGGGAAATTTATCCTTCAACTGGCTGAACTGAACCAAGAAGGCCTCCAAAGCTGGGTTTTGGGACACATGCTGGGCTGGAGAGGAATAGTAGCTACTAACAGAACTTAGCAGAATAAGAGTCACAACCAGGAAGCCAAGAAAGATGGAGGCTGTCAGAGAATGAGAAGATAAAAGACAAAATTAGAGGGGAGTGAATCAGAAATAAAGCTTGTGGTCAATTGAAGTGAGGTAGAGATACTGTCAGATTTTATGGGTTGTGGTGAGTTTATTTGGCCTAAATTCTTTAAACCTTCAGCAATTAAGGTCTACCAGAAATACCTTTATTCTAATTTCCTAGATTGAACTATTTGAAGGTGCAATATCTTCTTTAAAAGGTAAAGCCTAAGCTTATGTATTGGCTTCTATAACTAAGGATGTGATTTAGAAATAAACTATCAGGATATTCTTCGGTCTTCTCAATGTACCTTACAACCTGCAGCAGGCCATTTTTTAAGAGTCAAAATGTAAAACTGCCACTTGAGAAGGTAATACTCTCTAATTAAAAGGGCAATTTTAGTTTCTTGCTTATGAAAAGCCCTTTCTCCTGTAGGAATTTCCATTTTGTTAAGGATGGCAAAATATCAGCCAGCATCCCTAAAGAAAAAATCCCCCAAACTCTATTTTACTATTCTTTAATATCAAACATTTAAAAAAACATTAAAATGATGTTAAAACTGTTTAAGTCTGCTAATTTTCTAGGTATTTCCTCTGACTGAGAATGAACACTGCACTAAGACCAGTTTTGTTCTCACCATAGCTCAAAATATCCTTTTTATTCATCTTTCTTATGGCATCCTGGGCACTCTCTTTGTTTTCTTCCAATTTTTGTGTTTCTTGTTGATGACTTTCAGCCTCTGGAGAGAAAAATGAACATTATTTTTAGACAGTACACAAAGGGAGTGTATATACCTTTATACTTCTTACTAAAGCAAAGAATTATCTGACCAAGAGGATTTCTATACTTCACAAAATTTTCTCTTATACAAAGCTAACTCCCCCTTTTCTGTAAGGCTCAGTATTACTTTGGTTCTACTTGGAAGAAAAAAATGAAGTACAGCAAAATTCATTTAAGAGTACTGTTGTTATATTTACAATTCTTCACTGGCCCTTAAGGAAAAGAAGCAACAAGAAAAAAGAAAAAAGAAGCCACGAATCAAGGACAAAGAAACAAGCATTCTAACACTGCAGCCAAATCGACCTAAACTGTGATTCAACAAAATGTACAAAATTAAGAATGGATTTGAGAAAAGACAGCTGTACACAAGGGCCATGATACTCTCATCCCAGGGTTCAGGTCTCACATGACTGCTCAAGACCCCCAAGTGTACAATTAACAGAGGCACTAAGTTTGGAGACAGCAGAGGTTACAATTGCAAAACAACTTGCAAAAAATAAGTTTGAAATTCTTAGTGAAGGAGGTACATATATACCAAACAAGGAATATAAAGTCAGGAAAATTTATATAAAAAGGTAGGTGTGGGGGGTGAGAGACAAGTATTGATATGTGTGGGTGAAAAGGAGGGCAGTATTTTGTGGCATTGTAAACTAAGTCACTCTAGTATCTAGAAGTGTGCTTGACCCCAGCCGGATACATCATGTAACAGTGAAAGCTGAGTATTGTTCTTAACCCTTAACTGGAAAAACTCAACTAGCATACTCTATTAACATTAAGAAGTAGAATCATCTTCATGTATAAAGGATAGTTCATGTAGCCATATCACATGAAAAAACAGGTTTTTAAAATATCATTTCCCAGAACTTAAGGACTGAAAGGATCTCTAATGATCATCTCCTTATGACAAAGGGTCCAGGAAGTTAAGGGCTTTGCCCAAGGTCACATATAGAGATGTGGCAGAGTTGGGATTAGAAAGAGGTTACTCACCTCCTGGACTACCTCATGCCATTATATTATGTTGCTGCCCACACATAACTGCATTTTTAAAACAACATTTTCTTCCTCTACTCAGTGAGCCTGCATACTGAAATTATGATGGCAGATAATGGTCCCTACAAATCACATTCATTCATTCATTTAACAAATATTCATAAAGTTGCTTCTCTGTACCAGGTGCCACAAAAACACAATGAATGAGACAGACACATTCCTTGCCTTCACTGAAATGACTATTCTAATGATCAGTGAATGAAACATATATTTGAAATCAGTTACTGATTTACAGCCTTCCTGATGAACAGAATATTTTATATTCCTTTGCAGTGGCAAATAGGTATTTCAGAGTACCTACGTGGCACCTGGGTGGGGCGATGCGAATGAAGATGCTGGGGATGAAGGGGTGCAGGCAGGCTGAATCTGTGTGAGAGTCATACTAGTACTACCTTGGTGGGACTGCTTTATCTCTGACAGGCATCAGAGCTCTTCAGAGTTCTTACAAAATACAAATCAACACATACAATCACACAAAGTGAGAGCTATAAGAGATTGGCTGGATATCACCTTGTCCAATTTCTTCATTCTAGAAATAGGAAACTGAAGTATAGAAGTTAAGAGATTTGCCCAGGGTCACCCAAGTTAGCAAGTGATTGGGCCACACCAGAATCCATATCTCTTAAGTTCCAATTGAGGATTTAGCACATGGCAATTATGATCTTCATAACAGAAGGTATGATGCTTGTTCTCCTTAATATAAAAGTGGGAAAACTATGGATAGAGAAATATAACTGATTTGCTCTAAGTCCTATACAACTGCAATATGACTGAGTTAAGGATGGTATACCACTGATGTTGTTTTTAAATACATCATCTCTTGATTTATGTAGCATTTAGTTTCCAAGAAAATAAATGATTTTAAAAATTGTAAATGAAAATATGCTTGTAAGAAATAAAAAGCCAGAGGTGGTTTTAAAAAGTGACACCCTTTTTTATCATACTGCATTAATACAAATACTAAATAAATGGGAACACTGTTTAAATAGGCAATTTATGTGTGGGAAGAAACTTACTGTGGGTGTGGAATGAATTTGTCTAGGAGATGAGAAACCTCATTCTAATGGAAACAGAAGTTCTCTGTAAAGAAAGACCCTGACCTGTGCTGTGTCTCAGTAACAGAGCGATACAGAACAGGACAGAAGTCCAGAGAGTTACCTCACCTGGCGCAGGCAGTCGTCGCCTCAGGGTATCCTGGACCTCCAGCCCTGCCCTGGGGTGACCAGAGCGGGGTGCATCCTGGGGGTCTCCAGCAGCTGGCTCCTGTGCCACTCCAGGATGGTCACTCACTTCCTCAAGGAGGGCTGCACAGCTGCTCCCTGAGAGGGTACCTGCTCCTCCTGGCTCGTCACTTGAACAGTTGGGCTCTGGAGCCGAGGATTCTTCACCCGGACTTTCTGAAGAGAGTTGATGCCCTTCCTCTCCATCCTGAAAACTCTGGTTGTCCTCATGTTCCGTCTCATCCTTTGGATGGTTCCCATAATTTGTTTCATTTGGACCTGCTGCTTGATCACTTGGATCTGCACCTCCTGGACCTATTGATTCGACCTCTTGGTGGTCTGTGTTAAGCCCAGAGGCAGGGGTTGGGGTCTGAGCATCTTCAGAGGCACTCGTGACTGTGGCTTCCTGTGCCTGGGAATCTACTGATGCATCATTTTCCAAATCCTTTTGAGAGACTTTTGAGATAAAAATTTACAATTTATATTGAAAAAAACTTCCTTCTATTTTTGTATTTTAATAAGTACATTAATAATAAGTAATACTTATATAGATTTTGAGGGTTTACAAAGTACTCTTCCTAAACATTGTTTCTCTTGACTTCTGCTGAGGATGATTTCAAGACAAACACATTATCATGGAAATAAATTTAACAAATAATACTAATGTAAAACTCTTTTGAATAACAGAACCAACTTTATATCCCTTCTCTAGTGAAATAATGGACCTAGGCAATAATCATTAATAGCAACTAAAATCCCTATGCAAAAGGCTGATGAGAAATTATATATGGATGAACCAGACTGGCAACTGCTAAACCCACTGACCAATCTTAACCTTGCAAAAATAGGGAAAACCCCAGACATCACCTCCCAATTCACTACATCACCCATGAAGTATTCTTGCCAAACAACTGTTCCTGAATCTGATCAAGAGGAATAGAGGAATAAATTAAATTATGCCTCAGGAATATAAACAGCACAACCTAGAAGGTGGGAAATTCCGAGGGACAAAAGAGTTTGATTCTTTAATAACAGCAAGAAACAAAAATGGCAAGAAAAGAAAAAAGGAGGGGTGACCTATTAAGACACTTAAAAGACACATCAACCAAATGCAATGTTTGACCACACTGTTTAGATCCACCGGTCCAACAAAAAGGTTGTTAAAGAAATATTCGTAAGATGATCAGGAAGATTTGAATGCCAGATATTTGATGATACTAAGCAATTATTGCTCATTTTTTAGGTACCATCTTGTGGTAATGTTTAAAAAAAAGCATCCTTCTCTTTATTAGAGATATGTGTTCAAGTATTTATGGCTAAATTTATATGATGTCTAGAAATAAATGATATTTAATTCTAGAAGGGGGGAGAAGGGAGTAGATGAAACAATTATTAGCCATATATTCCCTTTTTGATGGAAACATGGGATGTACTTCATCTCTCTTCTTTTATGTATGTTTGAAATATTCTATAATAATGCTTAAAAAAGAAGAGGAACCTAAAAGATAGATCTATCAATGTAGTATGTGGCCCAACTGTGAAGAAAAAACAAAAAAATACAAACCCAACTGTGAAGAAAAAAATATGAGACAATCAGGGAAGTGAGAACACTGACTGGATATGCGATGATACTAAGAAGTAACTATTGATCTATTTTTCAAGTGTAACAGTGCTATTTTGGTAATTGTAAAAACCTATCTTTAAGAGATGTAAACTAAAGTATTTGCAAATAAAATTATATAATGTCTTAGATTTGCATTTAAATAGTCTAAGATATGCAACAGAATCGGCATTACATAGATAATAGCTGAAGTCAGATGTTGAGTACATGGGGCTTCATAATACTGTTCTTTTATATATTTTACATCATCCTATACAAGATTTAAACAAAGATATACTTCTCTTTTGAAAATCTACTTCATATTTTGTCTCCATCTACTATTTTTATATATAAGCAGGATGAAGAATTTAAGTTTCATCTTAAAGATCCCCTCCAAATACATAACACATTACCGTTTTCTTGATTTTTAAAAAATATAACTCCAAGGATGCATCCACCATCTTTTTTAAGATGTATTTTTCCAATACTACAGGGTTCCTACTATTGGAGTCTTTAAAACACAGTCTTCCTTATAATTAGGGTCTGGGATTAGGGTAGAACTCAGCCAATATGAAAGAATAAAGCTAATCATAACAAATTAATTCAGTTAACTTTTTTACTCCCAAACATCAGGTTTTAGCCATCAGAAACTTTCTCTCTTAGCACAGCCCTAGTTTCCTATAGCATAAACCTCAGTGCTATAACTAGTCTTACCCTCTGGAGCATTCCTAAGTCCTCTGTCGGTCATGTCTGTGCTCTGTCTCTTCAGACTTGGGAACACTTTTTATTAATGTCTGGTTTTCCTTGTGAGGATGTCTTGTTTTCTTCTTGTCCCAAGTCCCAACGGACTCATGCTTCCCGCAGACGCAGGAAACAAGGCATTTATATACAGTGACTAAAACAAAATGAAAAGAATCAAGTGACTTTTTATTCATACATGGAGGAATGACAATTTCAGCTTTACTTATTAAATGTGTTCAGTGTGAGTAGTAGTTCCTCTGAAATATTTCTAGTGAAGAAAAATGTTTTCCAGCTTTCACAAGGATCATCTTCCAAATCCTAGTCTATGAATAGAAAAAAGCTTCGGATTATTATTAACCTTGCATAGATGGCCATAATCTCCTAATATATTCCAGTGTTCTTGAAAGGATGCAAAAAGACCAAGTGAGCAGAATCTCAAAGAGAACAACTTTGAAAATGAAATAAAAAGTAATTCTAAAGGTGGAAATTTAAGTCACCGTTGAGTTACCCACTGCAGATTTCCTTTATGTCTTCAATTTCTGTCCCATAGACATTTCTGCCTCTCAGAAGCTAACTTAACATTAACAAGTAACAATGCACAGGGGCTACCTATAAACTAAGACGGCCACCTTGGTAGTGACAGGAAACACACATTTGGAGTTTCACCACTGCCTTTTTTGAGATTTTACCACAATATTCTTTTGTAAAATGTGGAGACAAATTATCTATTTATACAATGCCTTTTTATGCAGTGCTCAAAGAAGACTGGTTTAAAAATTATATGAGCTATAAACAAAAGGAGTCAAAATCAAAAAGTGCTCAAAGACTGACTTGAAAATTATATGAGCTGTAAGCAAAAGGAGTAAAAAATCTGAGGCAATGTATAACCAATAAAAAATGTTATCATTTTATAGTTAAATCTTATTTTTTGTCAAACACAAAACTATCCCAAAGTTACTTAACCTTCATTATCTGTAAAAATTGTTTAGGACTGCTTTGAGGATTAAATATAAAAATGTATGTGAAAGAGCTTTGAAAAGTGTTACATTGTTTTGATAGCCTAGTTGAGTGGCTAGCCACCTAGCCTTCTTTGTATCTTTCTTACGGCACTCTCATAAAATTTAATTTTACAAATTAGAAATTTTAATCTCGATGCCTAGCATGGTGCCTAGTGTAGAGTAAGAACTCTCTATTTTAATCAAAAAGAATACGAATAAATGAATAACTATATGAATGTCTGAATAAAGAGAGGTGATAATCATAAACTGTAAGGGAAGGGAGGAGTTAGGAACAGGCCTCCTTTTTGCTGGTGTGGACACTCAGGAACATGTTTCAGATTTGGAGGGTTTTATCTTCTTCAAACTCCTGGGACTGTGCCTCCAGCTCTCCTTTTCTTACCATAATCTTTGCAGCGAGGGTTTCTCTCTGATCTGAGTTCATGGCAGAAAATAAAGTCCCCAGTCCTTTTCAGGTTTCTTAGAACAGTATTTTTTTCTGCCAACCCTAACCAAGAGAACAATGGGTAAAATGTTTCCTATGCACCAGTAACAAAAATCTTGAAAGGCAAAATGCTATTCATGGTAACCATAAGGTGCCTCATAATAAGAACTAAAAGATACCTAGTAATAAATGTAACAAATACTCAAAAATTTTACTTGGGGTGAATTTTATGGTATGTAAATTATACCTCAATAAAGCTGCTTTAAAAAAAGAACTTTAAAGAGAAAAATGTAAAGTTTTATTGAAGGACATAAAAAAGACCTAAGTGGAGAAATGTATTATGGACAGAGACGGACTCAAAGTCATTAATGCCAACTCCAAAGTAATCTATAAATGATTTGCAATTTGAAACAAAAGCTCCAGACAACTATTTGACTGTTGTATGTTTCTTATGGAACAGAGAAGCTGAACCTAAAATTCACAAAGAGCAATAAAGGATTAAGAAGAGTCAAGATCATTTTGAAGGGGAAAAAAAGGTAATTCTGAAGAAGGACGGAAGCTATCTTTACCAGACATCTCAAGACTTATTATAAACTTATAACAGTAAAAACAATAGGGCATTGGTACAAACACAGACACACAGAATATACGGAATAGAGAGCCAAGAAATATATGCATACATATATAAAAGAAATTGGCTAAGTGATAAAAATTAAGAATAGATTAATGAATAGTTTTGGAACAACTGATGATACAAATGGGAAAAAAGTTAGATTTCTACCTCCCACCTGACACAAAAATCTATTCTTGGTTAAAGACCTAAATGTAAAGAGCAAAACTTTGAAATTATCAGAAGAAAATATCAAATCTTTATAACCTCAAGCAACATAAAATTATACATTTCTTAAGCATCATTTAAAATATACAAACCATAAGGTAAAATTTGCAAATGTGATCACATTAAAAAGTAAATTTCTATACAAACCATCAAAATCAAAGTTAAAAGATACACTCACTGACTAGAAAAATATCAGCAACACATTTAGAGGGTTTTATCTTCTTCAAACTCATAATCAGCAAGGGATTAGTATCCAGAATACATAAAGACTCCCCCAAATCATTAAGAGACAAATAATGCTATGAAAAAAGAGTGGGTGAACAGATATTTTTCCAAAGAAAAAATACAGATGGCCAACAGGTACATTAAAAAATGCTCCACATAGCTAATCATCAGAGAAGTATAAATCAAAACCACAATGAGATATTACCTTGTACCAGTTAGAATGGCCACTATCCAAAAGACAAGAAAAACAAGTGTTGGTGAGGAAGTGGAGAAAAGGAACCTCTCCTACACTGTTGGTGGGGATGCAAATTGGTGCAGCCACGTGGGAAGAAGTATGGAGGTTCCTCAAAAAACTAAAAATAGAAATACCATACAACCCAGTAACTCCACTTATAGGAATTTACCTGAAGAAAACAAAAATATTTGATTTGAAAAGATATATGCATTCCTATGTTTATGTTGCCACATTATTTACAATAGCCAAGATACAGAAGCAACTGAAGTGTCCAACAGTAGATGAATGGGTAAAGAAGATGGATGTGGTACATAGACACAATGGAATATTACTCAGCCATAAAAAGGGAAGAAATCCTGTCACTGCAGCAACATGGATGGACCTAGAAGGTATGCTAAGTGAAATAAGCCAGACAAAGAAAGACAAATACTATATGATTTCACCTCTTTGTTGAATCTAAAAACAAAACAAAATGAACAAAACAGCAGTAGACTCACAGACACTGAGAAGTGACTGGTGGTTACCATCAGGGAGGGTGGGGTGAGTGAAGAGGATAAAAGGGCACAAAATCTCGGTCTTAATATAAGTCTGTCACAGGGATGGCAGCATGGAGAATATAGTCGATTCTGTAATATCTTTCTATGTTGATTGTAACCGCACCAGTTGAGGCAAGAATTTAATCATGTCTGTAATTGTTGAATCACTGTGTTGTATACTTGAAACCAATATATTATTATATATCAACTATACTTCAATAAAAAAATAGTAAAAAAAGTGGGCAAATGAGATGAACAAGCATTTAAATGAAGAAACTTAAAGTCTAATGAATCAGTAAGAAGAGTACTCCAGGAAAAATCAAAATAAATTAATGATGAGACACAATTTCATAACCATCAGATGGGCTAAAATTCAGAAGTCAGGCAATAGCAAGTCAGTGGTTTGGAGATACAGAGAGCTCTTAGGCCCTACTGGCAATGAGGTAAACTGTCACAACTTTAGAGAGCAATCTGGCAATATCTAGTAGACTTAAGACACATGTTCTACAAATCAGCAATTCCACATTTAAATACATACCTTGAAGAAACCTTCCCTCAAATGCCCCATGATATTTGTAGCAGTATTGTTTAAAATGAGAAAAAGTAAGGAAACAAATGTCCATAAAGAAGTGGATTTAAAAAATTGTGGTATATTCTTACAGTGTAATATTATATATTTCAATTAAATTTATATACCTCAAAAATTTGTAGAAGTGCAGTATTATAGCACTTATATAAAACTTAAACAAAATAATCCTACATAGTGATTGAAAAAGAAGTGGATGAATGGAATAAAAATGAACCAACCAGTAATACACACAATATGGATGAACCTAAAAAATATGATGGGTGAAAGAATTCATACCTTATATGCCAAATGATCCCATTTACATGAAGTTTTAAAACATGGCTGACTATGGTCGATGGTGCCAGGAAACAGTCAGTGGTTCCTCGGGTAGGAGTTCTGACTGCAAAGGGCACGGGGACACCTTCTGGGGTAGTGAAAGTGTTCTGTATCTTTATTGAGATGGTGGTTATATTTGTCATCAAATTTAAAAATCTACATTTTATTCCATGCAGAATAGCCTCAATAAACTTTATTTCAAACAAACAGAACTGAATGCTCTCAAAAACGTATTATGTGGTGACTAGGCTGCAGGTTACAATCTGCAAAGGAACCCTCACAGATATTTCTATCATCTTGCAAATCATCAGTATATATCTTTCTTGTCACAAGGCACATGTCATTCCTGCATCCCATTTCATTCAGACCCTTTGTAACATATCACTGTTCATAGTTGAAATGGTATTCATTCCCTCAAGACTCAAAGGAAGAAGTAATACCAACACAGGTTCTTAACACCTCTTCACAAGAAGTCGCGTGGGGAAGAGCTGGAGGCTGCTATTCTAGAGGCAGGTCAATCTTTGAACAGTGTCCAATCCATCCCAGGAACTGTGTGCATTAGGAATCAATGGAATGCACAATGGAAGTGAGGCAGAGCCTCACCCTGATGGAAAATGGGGACTTTCTGCAGCTGTAGGAGAAACCATTCCATAAGCATGTCCAAAAAAAGATCCCTTTGATGGTATCTTCTGCAAAACAGAACTGATGAAGACCCGTGTACTTCACATGGCATAAAAACATTTACTTTCAGTGAATCTCTTACAAGTTCAATTGGGAAATGTTAGTTTTCAGTGCCCTGTATGTGGAGATTATGATGATTCATTTTCCACTTAAATAAAACTTAGCCCCATCTTCCCTGAGACCCTGAAATTTACAAATGAAACTTGTACCATTGTGCTTTAACCATCTCCATGAGGACATGAAACAATTTAAAGCAATAAGGTTTTATTCTTCACTTATGGAGAATGCACCAGAT